GCCCAACCCTGAGCCCAGGATCGGTGCATACGCCCTCTTACCTTGGCCGGAAGGTATATGCACCGATCCTGGGTCAAGGATGGGCGCTGTCAGGATCGGTGCATGTGCATAGTTCTCTTCGCCCGATCTGTATTGCCAGATGATCTAGCATGCTCCTCGATTGTCCTCGCTGAGGAAAAATGCACACGTCCGAGCGATGCCAATGAAAGGGAGACACCAGGCTTGGCCAGACCGATCCTGAGCCCGAGACCTCGCCGTCGCTCGGACGTCCATTTCCCGTGCATTGTTCGGTTTCGCGCGTGTTTTTTTGCTCGATGGTCCAGGATGGTCCTCGATGGTTCTCGCCGAGAAAAAATGCACACGTCCGAGCGATGCCAAGAGACTGGCCTGGTCAAGCTCGGCGCCGGTGTCAGCCCGTGCCCCGCAAGGGGTTGCCAATCGTGGCTCCGGTGAAGGAACCGCCCGCGCTGCGCTCCCACACGCATGAGCTGACGAGGACAGCACGGAAATAGCGAGCAGGAGCGCAACCTGGAAATGAGCTCTACGGCAGGTTCGCGTCGTGCCGACTGCGGCGCGGTTTCAGACACCGCGGGGATCGTTCCACCTTGACCGATCAGCCGTTTCTGAAACGTCAGATCGTTCAACATCGACCGATTCGAGGACTCTGGCGGCGTTCTATGTTGAACGCCAGTGGCGGGGTCGCCGCCGGTCGACACGACGCGAACCTACCGTACTCAACATACGCGCGCCCAGGCGACTGAAATCTGCCGTGCCCCAGCACTGATGCCCTCGAAGAATTACCCTCTCCCCTCAATCCGACCAGGCCCCTCCTGGCCTCCGCATTTCCCATCGTTGTCCCAGATGTTTCAGGATCCAACGTCCATCCTACAGAAGTAATGGCACTGGTCGGTACGCAACCCCATGTAGCCCTGGCATATTCCACTGTGTCTTTGGATGCTTCCTGGTCCCATCCTACATATGAGATGATCACATTCGGAACGAAACATTTCTGGCCCAAAGCAAGTCCTGCATATGAAATCACACCACTCGGTGCGAGCCCGTCGCATCCTGGCCCCACATCTTCCATTGTGGTGTCTTACGTCTCTGCACCAACACAAATCCTGCATGTGAACAATCGTACCATTCAGCACGAGCCCGCATCCTACCGAGGCACTTTTCCGATGCAAACAAGACTGCGCGGTGGACACGCGTCGCTCGCTTGTAGGACTCAGCATGAAATCATACCGCGTGGGCCCCGCTCGCGGAACTCGCGTCTCCAAATCACTCAAAACCGAGATGCTGAAATACAACATTCCCCAAACGAAGCTTACACTGCGACCAGATTCCAGGGTTCCCGCACCTGGGCTCCCGGGGTCCCTGGTTCCGGGTTCCATTCCGCGGCCAGGCACCCAGGTCCGTAAGAGGTAAGATAGCAGAGCGTGAAGAGCACATCTCAATTTACAGAGAGGGAGAGAGCACCGTTGAGCTGGGAGGGAGAGGAGGGAGAGAAAGCGACAGAGATAAAGAGAGATGCAATCAATACAAACACATATAACAATATATAAGTCAGCATGCGTGTATGCAGGTGTGCATACTTATAGAGAGAGGGTATAAAGCAGACAGTGAGAACACAGAGTCGTTCTGCAATCAGCGCTTGCACTGAAGAGGTCCTAGCGGAAACGAAAAGGATAAGCGAGCAGTTCGGGCCAGTTTCGATGCGAATTGCCCAGCGCGGTGAGGTTCCCGAGTTCTCGAGGTCAAGTGCTGGCTCATTTCGACCGCAGTCAAAATGACAGACTATGTAGTAGACAATAGAGAAGACAGATCAGAGAGTAGAGAGCATAGCTACACAGAGAGGAAAGAGATTTGAGAATTCAGTGCAGGGCGAGTTAAGAGGGTAGGTAGAGTAAACACGTTGTAATATCAGTCGAACCCCGCTGGCCAAAATGGCCTCAATTGCGCAGGTGGCAGCCCCCAGGGAGCCGCGAGGTCTAGTCTAGATATGCGTTGGAGACCACTCCACTCGACCTCGCAGAAGCCCGCGAAAGGTGGTAGTTGCGCAGGTGGCAGCCCCCCAGGGAGCCGCGAGGTGTACTCTGGATGTGCGTGGACACCACTCCGCTGGATCCCCCACGAGCCCACGAATGTGGCGACAGCTACGCAGGTAAGGAATGATATAGGAGGTAGGAGGTAGGAGGGAGGAGGGATGAAGGATGAGGGAGGCAAGGAAGATAAAGATGAAGCAGGAGGAGGGAGGAGGCGAGAAAGGGGAAGGAAGGACACGCGCGAGCAGTGCTCCAGTCAAAACGAGAACCCAACATAGGAGGGTTTGGAAAAACAGAGCGGGGTTGTCCCTAGCCGGCAAATTTCGGCCACAAGCTAAATGATCCCGACGTGAGCGGCAAAAAGACACGGGTCTTACGCAAGATGATGTTGCGACCTCACGCGGTGGCTTCCGCGGGCCGCCAGCGCGGCACGCCGCATCGGAAACGAGGGCGCTCACGCGCGGCCTTACGCAAGTAACGTACGCGCCAGTGCATGTGAACACTGCCCCGCTTTCCTGCGACGCTCACATGCCAACTAGCAGCGCCCATGCATAGGTCTAAGACCTTGTAGGATGCCGCCTCAGCTGGTGCAGCGGTCAGCCGCGAGGCACGACAGGGCTCACGAAACGCGCGCGCGCGCGCCTCGGCTCGAGCCGGGAGCGGCCGCGCGGACGGCCACGAGTGGGGAGGCGCAGGGGGAGGCGGGAGCGGCGGGAGGAAATACTGCCAAAATCAATGGCAAGGACGCAAGGTAAGGATGCAAGGCCCGTGGACCGTCCAAATTGATCGCCCTTGGATGTGAAACTGGCCAGATCTGGCCAAGGGGGTAAGGATGCAAGGGCGCCCTTACTGAAGTACCGCGTCCTCACCATGCCCATGGATTTTGACTCTAGGGGGGGAGAGGGCAAGGTCCCCAGAGTGGCGGCGTGAGCTGCGTGAGGAACTCAAAATGCACCAGCAAGCGCCGTCTTCATTCCCAAAATAGGGTTTCGCGTCCACTACCGGCGAAAAAAAACCACAAAAGAATCCCAGTGGGGACGGACGGGGAGGAGGGAGGAGGAGGAGGAGGGAGGAGGAGGAGGAGGAGGAGGAGGAGGAGGAGGAGGAGGAGGAGGGAGGGAGGAGGAGGCAGTCGTCCCTCCTCCCTCCTCCTCCCTCCTCCTCCCCTCCTCCCTCCTCCCTCCCTCCTCCCTCCTGGGTCCGGCAGGCGTCTCGCCTGAGACTTCCTCACATCTCCTTCGAGAACCGTGCTCTCGCCTCCATACCCGCTGCATGCTTGGTCTGGACGGCCACGACCCTTGAACAAAAAACAAAGAGGGGGCACATGACCTTTACGTTTACTATAGGAATCTCCAGGAACACCGGAACACCCGGGAATGCACGTTTTCACTGGCCGACCTCCTGTTTCTCGACCCGCCTCTCTTCACCGTTGCTGCTGCCGCTAGGGCTCCTTGCTGGGGCGTACTTCTTCACGACGAGAGGGCGTGGGAGGTCTTGCAGACGCCTCTGGCCGCGCCGGACGCGCCAATGTCACGGGGCCGCTGGCTGAGCGGGAGGCCCCTGGCGCCACGGCGCGGGCTCCGCTCCTGGCGCGCCCTGGCTGCTGGACCGACGCCACTGGCGAGAAGGCTCTTCCTCGGTGCCGTGGCAGCCTCCTAGATGAAGGTGTGGAGAGGGCGAAGCTTTGTAATGGGGTGGGTGGGCGGGTGGGAATGGTCGCGCTCAGCACCGGTGTAGTTTCTGTCCTACCCTACACAGGAAGACCTAGAACCAGCCTGGGGAGCCCTACGATTAGCCAAGGCCGTGCAGGGAGAAAAACAGACTCCGAGGGGGGGAGGACGCTGGACCAGTTCGTTTTTTTTGTGTATACAGGAGCTCCTCGGCAAGGCTGGCCGGAAACCTCTGACGGAACCACTCCCAACTTCGCGCTTCGCGCTGCGCGAAGCGCGAAGTGCGAATAACTTCGCGCTCTCGCGGCGCCTCCCAGGGAGGAAGAGGAGGATGAGGAGGAATCGGAGCCGAAGCGCGAAGCGCGAACAACTTCGCGCCCTCGAGGGCGCCCTTGAACAAACGGCACCGTCCGAGATCGGCCCGCTCGCCCAGCCGTGCCAGCCGAACGCGCTCGGCCCCGAGAAAAAGCTGGCCCGCTGCAGGCTGCACCGCCTCGCCCGAGGAGGAGAACGGCCCGAGAGCGCAGCGCCGAGCCCGTGGCCGGCCGTGGCGGGCGAGGCCTCCGCGGCCCGGCGCGAGCAACGGCCGCAGTGCCACCGGGCCCCGACGAGCGCCGGCGGGCGGGGGCACCGTGGCAGGAGAGACTGGCGCCTACCGGGGGGGGAGGGGGCAGACAGCTGAGCCGCAGCGAGGCCCCACCACGCCTCGCCCACCACTGCTCACAGCGGCGGCTGGAGGCCTGCCGAGCATGCCTCTCGGAGGCGCCCAGGAGCGGTGTCTCAAGGAAACAAATGGCGGTGCTGGCCCCTCCTCCTCCTCCTCTTCCTCCTCCTCCTCCTCCTCATCCGCTGACCTTCCCCTAATTCATGACGTGTGCCTCCTCCTCCTCCTCCTCCTCCTCCTCCTCCTCCTCCTCCTCCTCCTCCTCCTCCTCCTCCTCCTCCGAGAGAGAGAGAGAGGATGAGACGAGGATGACTCTTTCGGCTGTGGGCGCAGCTCCGCCACGCCGCGCCCACGCCCGCGAGGCTGCTCCGCGCCACCCGCGCCCGCGGCGAGAGTAGGCCGGCCAGCTCCGGCTCCTGCCCGCTCTCCTCCCGGGCGCTCTCCTCGGCGGTCCCCCCTGGGCGCTTCGGCGCTCTCACTCGGCGAGGTTGCTCCGCGTCGCCCGCGCCCTCTGGTGGAGCAGGTTGGCCAGCTCCTGCTCCTGCTCCTGCGCCTGCCCAGCCCTGTGCCCCGTGCTCTCCTCGGTGGCCACGGCGTCCGCCACGGCCTCGGCCGGGGAGAGGCGCGCGGGCCACACCGGTGGCCTCCCCTCTCCCGCTTGCATGCAGCTCGAGATGAATCCATCCAGCCAGCCGATGGGCACATCAGCAGCTGCACCAGTCTTGGTCTCTGGTTGCTCTACAGACATGTGTGCCCTGGTAGCTCGAAGCAAAATGGAGACACTGTCAGCTCTGTTGCTTCTATCCCCCCTCCCCCCACCTATTCTGGGGTGAGCCCAGACATGCGACGCCCTGATTGTTTTGATACGCGGTCCCCGGAAGTCCCGACCCTTTCCCCGGGACCGGTTCTTCAGCCCGAGCCGTTTTGTTGACGGTCCCGGGGCCTGGCGAGGGCCTCTGGGAGTCGGACACGGCGAAAGCCTCCGTCCTGATTTTCTTATTTTGGACGCCCGAAATGGGTACGGAAAAAATGGGTACAATGCCCAACAACAAATGCTGTCCCAAACCCTCAGCGGCCGCTGTTGGGCAGGCGGCCTTCTGTCTCAAATGGACACAGGCCGCGGCGGCGCGGACAGCGAGCCCTGCTCCAGAGTCTCAAGAGGAACAGGAACTGCTGTTGGGCATCGTACCCATTCTCTCCGTACCCACCTCGTTCGTGCCGATGTACGACGCGATCATGCCTGGGAGGGGAGCTACCACCGGCACCACCAGGCCTGCACAGGCCCCCCCTGCCCCGTTCCACTAAACGGAATTGCCGTCACCCGAGAAAACACCAGCTACGGCAGACCTGGTTTAGCGATTCTGGTCTATTTAGAGGCTCCGGGGCCCTACTACTAACCGGGTCCCCTTATTTGCGGTCCTCCCCACACCCGAATCCGCCCTGATGTTTTGCGACGCGATCTGTTCTGGGAGGGAAGCTACCACCGGCACCACCAGGCCTGCACAGGCCCGCCTTGGTCCCAAACCGCGGCGGATTCGGGTCTCCAGGCCAGGCCGGGAGCCTCTCGCCATCCGAGATCGGGGCCCAGACCGCGCCCGTGGACTCCCGGTGCTCCGGCCCCGAGAACGTGCACCACCACCACCACCACCACCACGTCGACTCCTCCTCCCTCCTCCAACCCCTCCTCTTCCTCTCCGCCTTGCCTGGGAGAGGGAGGGGATGAGGCAGGTGGTGGTGCTGCATGCCTCTGGGCCCTGCACCCGGGTCGGCGCCCCGTCCCCGACCCGCCCCTCCTCTCCTGCCCAGGGCGGGGAGGAGGCCGGAGAGGCACTGGCAGTGTGCACAGCCCGAGCCCCCCAGGCCTTCTCCTCGGCGGCGCAGCCGGTCCCCGCGGGCAGCAGGGCCAGCGCCAGGCCCGAGGTCGAGAGGAAGAGCGCCGCGCCCACGGCCAGGAACGGCAGGGACCCGCCGCCCAGCCCCCACGGCCACAGGCCGCCCGCCCAGCCCGCCTGCGGGGCGAGGGGCAGGCAGGGCCTATAGGGTGGCCTCGGGGCAGGGGCTGCGGCTCGGCCCGGGGTTTCAGGCCTAGGGCCAGGTCGGGCATGGCTGCCCTCCGACGCGGGGGTTCTGGACGAGAAAAAAAAATGTCAGCCAAAAAGTGCCCCCCCTCCCACTATGTCTTGGACTGTTCTCGACTGCTCCTCCTGTAGAGGGCTTGGACATGCCTGGCAGAGGGCCCGTGGGGAGGGCACGGGGCACGGGCCCGAGGGAGGGGCCCCGAGGGGCAGGGCTGGGGCAGGCCTGGGGCAGCCCTTCGCCCTCCGCCACGCTCAGGTCGTAGAGCCGCGTCCCGGCCCAGTTCCTGGCGGGGAAAGAAACGGGGACCCCGACCAGGCCTCAACGCGGACACGTCGTGCCGAGCTTCGCCGCCGCCCGCCTTGGTCGATGCCCACCTGTGCACCGTCCCCGCGCATCGGCAACGGCCAGCACTGAGCATGACCGAGCTCGGCGTCGCCAAGATCCCGCGACGCCTGAGTCATTACAGGCCTCCTGGATGGGATCGGAGCAGACGGGGTCGGAGGGTCGCGCCGTATTGCCGAGACATCGGCGATGCATCACCGATGCATCGGCGATGCATCGGCGACGCCGGCGATGCGTCGGCGACGTCGGCGTCGAGAAGATCGGGCTCCACATCGCCGATGCATCGGCGATGCGGCGCGACCTTCCGACCCCGTCTGCTCCGACCCCACCCGGTAGGCCCGGGTGGCCAGTGCTCGCTTGTCGCCCCCCCGCGAGCTCCCGAGCATCTGCCCCGCGGCGTCGGCCAGCTTCAGCGCGGAGAAGAGGCGGCCCTGCAGCCGGGCCGGCACGCCCAGCGAGGCCAGCGCCTCGAGTGCGGTCGGGCACGTCCCCCTCCAGGCGGATGTTGGGCGAAACTTATAAAAGATAGTCGTCAAAGAATCCGAAACAGTCAAAAATCGTTGAAAAATCGTGCCCAGGCTATTCTTGACTATCTCCCCACCATCCTGTGGTGTTGGGTCCTCGCTTCGAGGAGACAGCGCCCCGCGTCTCCTCCCTCCTCCTGCTGCCCCTCCCCCCCTTCTCCCATTATGAGGGGGCCCCAGGACACACAAATAAATACATCCCGCAGGGCACCTGCGCCCCATTTTGGCACGCCCCTCACACGGTTCGCGGGTCCAACAGGGAGCTCCGCCGAAGGCCCCAGTGGGAGGGTCCACAGGGCACCGCCGCTCCCACTCGGCGCACCCCTCACGCGGATCGTGGCCCCACAGGCAGCTCCACCAAAGGCCCCAGTTGGAGGGTCCGCATGGCAGCGCCGCTTCAATTTGGCGCACCCCTCACACAGTTCGTGACACCACAGGGAGCTCCGCCGAAGGCCCCAGCGGCAGAGTCCATATGGCGGCGCCGCCCCATTTTGACGCACCCTTCACACGGTTCGTGGCCGCATAGGCAGCTCCACCGAAAGCCCAAGTAACACGGTCCACATGGCGGCGACGCCCCATTTTGGCACACCCCTCACAGAGTTCGCGGGTCCAACAGGGAGTTCCACCGAAGGCCCCAACGGCAGGGTTCACATGGCTGCGCCGCTCCATCTCGGCGCACCCCTCACACGGTCCGCGGCCCCATAGGGAACTCCACTGAAGGCCACAGTTGCGGATTTCGCGAGGCGCTGCCGCCCCCTATGGGCGCACCCCTCACACGGGTCGTGGCCCCGTATGGGAGCTCCACCGAAAGCGGCGCCACAACACGGTGTTCACAACTGCACACGGTTGGGCCTGTCGCCAGAACAACTTTGAGCATTCCTCCTGCAGAGGGACATGCCCGACTGAAGCCTCGAGGCAGGGCCGCAGCGCCGCAGTGCTCGCCAGGAACAGCAGGGACCCCGCCAGGTGCGGCGCCCGGGCCGCCCGCGAGGGGAAGCCCAGCACGGCCCCGAGCGAGGCCGCGGCGCAGAGCACCGTCGCCACCGCGGGGGGCCCGACGCGCTGTGCGAAGGCCGGCATCGCGCAGGCCCCGAGGATTGCGGCGAGCGAGCCCGCGAGGCTGAGCCAGGCGTACTCGTGGTCCTAGCGGGCCCCAAGATCTGTACACCACCACCACCACCACCACCTTCATCCCCCCTCCCCTCCCCTCCCCTGGCCTCCCCATCGCCCCTGTCTCTTGGGAGAGGGAGCGGGTGAGGGAGGCGGCGGTGGTGCATGTTCTTGGGCGCCGTGGTCCTCCCAGGCGAACTGCCGCCTCACGTAGAGCGGCCACAGCGTCTTGACGGCGATCAGCCCTGCGGACTGCAGCAGCAGCACCCCCGTGACCGCGATGAGGGTCATGACCTCCCCGATGCCAAGCGCGTGGCCCGGGCTCTCAATGTGAGCGACCGAAGGGTGTCGGCGGTGAACCTCCGCCGCCACCACCTTGGCGTCCTCGGTCTGCGCGGCCTCCGCGGCGCTCTGTGAGTCTGGCCCGAGCTCCGCTGCCTCGGCCTGCTCGCCCGTCACCGTCCTCATGGCGTGGCCATTCAGCAGGAGGTTGAAGACACCTGGTATGTTTTGCTTCGTTCCGGAGATGGGAGATTGGAGAAGGGACGAGGGAAAGGGGGGAGGAAGAGAGGAAATGAGAGGGCGGGGAGACGAAGAATGAGGAGGATGAGGAGGAGGAGGAGGAGCAGCAGGAGGTTCAAGACACCAAATATACAGAAGAAGCTGCAGACACTCATGCTCACGCGGAAGCGCAGGAGCTGGTCCTCCCCGGGCCAGGTGGAGCGGAGCAGGGCGTCCCACGGCGGGTACGACAGCTTCCCCAGGAGCTCCAGCACGTTCACCTGGACGAAGAAGGCGCTGACGACGAGAGGGCGGAGCTCCCTGTTGAGGGCCAACGACAGGGGGGGACTGGGGAGGAACCAACGACCTGGAATCGGCGATACATCGCCGATAGATCGGCGATCGGCCCCCGAAAATGAATCCACACGTTCCTGGGCGGGGTGGGGCTATCAGACCCCGATCGGCGATCATTAGGCGATTGCGCGTCGAGGCATCCCCCCTAATGCCTTTCCCCCCTGTCGTTGCCCCTGACCTGTCCGTGGCACAGGCGAGGTGCGTCCCGACCACGTTCCAGAAGTTCGCCGCGCCGAGGCCCAGGATGAACGAGGAAGCATAGAGTAGGTCGATCCTGCCCACGGGCGTAAATCCCCGGAGCGTGCAGCCCAGCGCACAAAAGAACGAAGAAAGGATCGTCGGCAGGAAGGCAGTGTACCTGCAACCGCCAGAGTCTGTCCAGATCCGCCGCCGCGGGTCCGTGTCCCAGGGACCCCGAGGAACGGTGGATGTGGACATGTTCCAGAGGCGGAGCACCTGTCCACCAGCCAGCCGTACACAGGCCCCAGAATCCAGGTCCCCGTCGACCGGATCACGCCGAACGTGCCCATCTGGGCGACAGTGGCGCCCAGCTGCATCGTGAAAAACGCGGTGATCGGCTCGTGTTGGAGGCGGCCGGGGGGTCTGCGCTGGACAAACCCAGACAAAATCTGCCAAGAGGGGGCGGACGAGGGCAAATCCGCCCAACATCGTCCCAACTTGTCCGAACCGCGCCCAACCGTGGCGGCGAGGGGGCCCCTCGCTCCACGCCTTGTGCTGGCCGGAACCAGCGATGGGCCACCGCAGCCCTCCAGCCGGCTCCAAGGCTCGTGCATCGCCCCCCCGAAGGACGCCGCCCAGATCGCCAGCGCGGGCGCGCGCAGGCGGTCGTCCCTCAGGAAAAGCCGCACGATGGCCACCTGGTCGGAAAACGCGCGCCGCATCAGCGCCAGCACGGAAGCCGCTCCAGCGAAGCGCACGGGGGTGCCGGCGCACGCTCCCGCGCCGCTCGGCCCCTCGATGGACAGGGAAGAGGGGGAGGAGGAGGACGACGACGAAGATGAGGAGGAACAGCAGGAACAGGATCAGGAGCAGGGAGGAGGAGGAGGAGGAGGAGGAGGAGGAGGAGGAGGAGGAGGAGGAGAATCCGTAGCCATTTTGGCTCAAGTCCGTAGCGGTTGGCTCTGGGACGAGAGTTTTTGGCAAGGGGATCCGCGGCCCCACCACTTTCCGTGTACTGTGTGCGGTTCGCCCCGCACTTGTTCACTCACAATTACTCGTGTACTTGCTGCTGCTGCTCGCTCGCGTTTGTTTCTCAAGCAGCGATGGGAGACTTCTCTTGCTGGCAGTGCAGTAACAAGCGGTGTGCGTACAGGTGCAACTATGTCTGGCGCGATAACTGCAGGATGTGTGGAAAAGCGGCTGGTCCGAAACCCTTTGTCTCGATCGCCGATTCTCGGGACCGTGGTGCCTGGGCCAATGGGCCGCCGATCAAGAACAAGCAGATCAGCTTCCTTCCCGAGAGTCAGCTCGGCATCTACGCCAGGATGTCCGAGGAGGACTTTAAGGAGGTCAGCAGCGACTGGGCGCCCAAACTCATTGCTCGCGTGGTCGCCCAGCGCAACCGCGACAAGGGCGAGCCGAGCGCCACAGCCAAGTCGGCCAGGATCGAGCAGGACGTCCTGGCGCACAAGCGTGACAAGGCCCAGCGGGCCTACGACAAGGCGCAGGAGAGTGCTTTGGCAGCCTGCGCCCACGCTGCCAAGTGCAAGGCCGAGCTCGCGCTGGCGCAGACTGCGGTCAAGGAGGCCGCGGCGCGGGCGGCCAAGGCCTATTCGGCCATGGCTGCGAAGGAGGATCCTGTTCAGCAGCTGCAGCAGTTCGCTGACACGCTCGCCCAGGATTCGCGTATGGCCCAAATCGCCCAGGGCCTGGCAGCTTTGGCGCAGCCTTTGCGCGATGCTGCTGCTGCTGCTGCTGCCCCTCCCGCCGATGAGTCCATGGCAGTGGACGGCGATGGCGGTGGAGGGGCTGGCGCCGTCGGGGCTCCCGATGGCGAGGCCGAGGCCAAGCGGCGCGCGGAAGCCGCTCAGGCCGCAGCCGCAGCTGCAGCTGCCAAGCAGGAGCAGGAGCGCGAGGCCGCGCGTGCTGCTGCTGCCGCCGCTGTCAGGCAGCAAGCCGAGGCAGCGCACGCCGAGCTCCTCGCCTGGCTCGCAGAGGCGCAGACTGACGACGGATACATCAAAGGATTGCAAGAGAAGCATGGTGTCAAGCATGAATGCATTCGTGACATCTTCGACCAGATGCAGGAGGCCGCCGCCAAGAGGTTCAAGTCGGCCACCGCCGAGCCTGCTGGCGGGTCTTCTTCCTAGCTTGGCCGCCTGGACTCTGGTCACCAGCAATGCGACGGGGATCGCGGGGTTGGATGCGCTGCTCCAGCATCCCAAAGTCCTCAGCAGCAACGGCGTGGTGGTGCAGGAACATCACCTTCTACCGCATCAAGTTGATGAATGGGAGAGCAAGTTGTCGAAGCGCGGGTGGCGCGCTAATGTAGCAGCTGCCGTGGATACCCAGCGTGGCGGTTCCAGCGGTGGTCTGGCGCATCTGGTTCCCAAGTTTGTTGGCCTCGCTGACGTCGAGCATATTCCCAGCTCTCTCATTCCTGGCAGAGTTTCGATCAAGCATGTTGCAGGAATCACAGACATTGGCTTTCTGTGGGTGGCTGTGTATTTACACTGCAGCGAAGGATTGTCAGGTAAGAACTGGCACATTCTAACCCAGATAGGTGATACAGTCAAATTATCAGGGCTGCCATTCATCGTGTCTGGTGATTTCAATTTGGATCCGCACGAGCTGGAAGCATCAGGATGGCCTGCCGCGCTCGACGCCACCATCTTGGCTCCAGCGGCGCCTACATGTACGAATTCTTTATATTCTAAGGCCAGGGTGATCGATTTCTTCGTGGTAGCCGACTCCATTGCTCATGATTGTTGCCTCGAGGTCTTAACCGATGCTGCAACTACGCCACATTATCCTGCGCGGCTTGCCATTCCTGTGCAAGCAAGGTGTGACCTCTGTCATGCGCCTGTTCGAGTGCCACGTCGGTTCCCTCTCGATTTACCTGTGGGATGTGTTCGCACTGATCCTGTACCACGTTGGGAGCAGCATCGAGACACAGTTGAGCGTGCTGGCCTGGACGTGGACATGCGCTGGCAGCTGTGGGTCCAGACCGCCGAGGCCGACTTCGCGGACGCCCACGACCTGCTGCCGCACGTCGACTCCGAGTACTTCGGCCGCGCTGAGGGCCCCCAGTTGTTTGTGAAGGCGCCACCGAAGCCGCTGCCTGTGCGCTTTCCCAGTGTCTCGCCTGTTGCCACGTGGTGGCGTCTCCTGGCCAGGTGCCTCTCTGGGTTGGGGTCTGCGCAGCCTGCCCCCTCACGTGCTTGCGCTTCGCGCCTTGCGAGGCGCCTCGGGCCCATGTCCCAGGTCAGCAAAGTTCCTGAGTCAGAGGCTGAGCCCTGGCTCACGCTGTTGTCTCTGGCGCGCGAGCTTCCTTATGAGCTCGCTGAGCTGGCTTCGAAGGCTGCCGCCCTCCAAGCTAGCAAAGCCTCGAAGCAAGCTGAAACTGATAAGCTCCGCGGTTGGAGAAAATGGTGCTCCACTCGCAGCCGTGACGGTGGAGCCGCTCTCTTTTCATATACCAAGCCTGCCCAGCCTTGGGCCCCCAGTTCCTTGGTGCAGGTGCAGGGTACCTCGCGTCCCGCTACTATGGCCGAGGAGACGGATTTGCTTGAGGCTGAGTGGGCTGGGCGGTGGAAGGTGGGGGCTCTGTCGGATTACATCGCCTGGCCTGCGGGCCTTGGCCCCGAACTTTCGCTTCCTACTCTCGAGGAGTTTAAAGCGTGCATTCGCACGTTCCCCAAGAGGTCAGGATGCGGTTTTGATGCGATTTCCCCTCGGCAGCTTTTGCACCTCTCCGACGGGGCCTTGATGGCCTTGATCGAACTTTTAGGAGAGGTCGAATCCTCCTGCTCCTGGCCGCGTCTCTGGACCAAAGTGGTTTTTTCTCAGCAAGCGTGAGGGCGGATTTCGGCCCATTGCGCTCATGCACATTCTTGCCCGTATTCAGGGGCGTCTGCGGCGCCCGCTTATCAAGCAATGGCAAGCTCGCAATCATCGTCCATATTTTTGGTCCACGTCTGGACGCAGCAGTGACAAGCTCGTCTGGGTCCAGGCCGCCAGCTCCGAGTGGGCGGCCTCACGAGGTTTCTCTAGTGGGCTCCTCCTGCTTGACTTGCAGAAGGCTTTCGAACACGCTCGTCACAGCGAGCTTGTGATCGCTGCGAATAGGTCGGGGTTGCCGCTCGCCAGCCGAAGCTTCTTGTCGAGCTCTACAGGGCCCCGCGGATCCTGTCGCTAGGGGACGTGATTTCTCGGCCTCTGCAGGCCCACCAGGCCGTTTTGCCTGGCTGTCACTTCGCCACTTTGATGTTGCAACTCATCCTCCTCGGCCCCGCTGATAAGGTTGTGGCGGCCTATCAGCACGTCAGTCTGGGGGTCGTGGTGGACGATTTTGGAGCCCATAGGGTAGGACGTGAGCAGGATGCGGTGGAAGACCTAGCAGGGGCCACCACCATGCTGCATGCTGAGCTTGAGAAGGTTCACTTGGTCGTGCACCGTCGTAAGAGTCGGGTCGTTGCGTCGTCGGCTCATATCAGGGCTCAGCTCGTCCGAAGGCCCCGTAGGTTTAATGTTCAGGGCGCTCACACAGAGCGCAACCGTGGCATCGATGTTGCCGCTGCAGTCTGCCGCTTTCGTGCCACGCGAGCCGCTCGCAGGGCACCAGCGCACGCTCGGGCCCGAAAGATCGTCTCGCTCGGACCGCGTGTTAAAAAGCGTCGGCTGCACAACATGGCGCAAGCTGCCCCCCTGGCCTCCTGTAAGTATGGGGGGCGCTGTGTACGGCTACGTCTCGCCAGAGCTATGCAGGCACATGTGCAGGTCGCCAAGCTGTCAGGTCGCAGTCTCACGTTGCTTCTTATGATGTCTGAAGCACCCCGATGCGACCCTGCATACAAATTAGATATTGAGCCTCTGCAGATGTTTGCGGTGGCCGTCTGGGATGGTTTGCTTCCTGTGCGCATGCTCGAGCAAGGAATAAAAGATGCTGTACATCGCTTCTCCGACCACGGAAACCCCTGGGCTGGCATCAAGGGCCCTTTCACGGCCTGTGCGGCCACTGCCATCCGTCTGGGGCTCCAGGTCGACGGTTGTGTTTTCGCTCACTCGGTCTTGGGGCGCATCTCGGTCAGGGACGTCGGCCCCAGGACCTTTGTGAGCTGGCTTCAGAGGGTGGTCGATGTTTGGCTTTGGGGTAAGGTCGCCAATAGGTTGGATGTGCCTGAGTTGCAAAATGGGCACGATCTCACTCCGCTCAGAAGCCTTCGCCCCCTCTTGCCCGTTGAGCGCGGGCATCTCAAGAGTGTGATCTCTGGAGGCCAGTGGCCGCAGCATCGTCAATGGGAGGCTGGGCTCTCGACCAATGCCTTCTGTCTAGGTTGCGGGTCGGCCCCGGGAACCCTGCTGCACAGGCATGCAGCGTGTGGCTTGCACGAGGAGGTCATGGAAGGAGTTCGCATTCCATCCTTTCTCACCACCCTCGTGCGAGCTGCCACTCAACCTCCCCCCCTCCTCTTTGCTGAGAGGCTGCTGCTGCCGCTCGCCCCCCTCCCTGCCACCCGTCCTGTCCCAGATAGGTGGTTCGCAGGAGGGCCCGAGGCCCTATCAGGACATGTGTTCCTCGACGGGTCGCGGATTGACCAGAAGCCCCCCTCCCCCCCCGCGCGCAGGCGGTGGGGTGGGCCGCCGTTGCTTTGTGTCCCGACACATCTAGTGTGCTCTCTGTTTTGTGTGGTACGTTGCACGAGTTGCGTCAGGACATCGACTATGCTGCGCTTTTTGCGTTTTATCGCGGGCTACAGCACGCGTGCCCAGGATCCATATTGCACGCAGACTC